CCATCCCCGAGTCCTCCTCCGATGTCCTCCTGCCCAAGGACGTCAAGCTGGCCGTGCTGGGCGCCGGGCGCGTGGGCAAGAGCGGTGAGTGCGCGGGGGGACAGCGCGGGGCGGCCGGGGACCTCGGGACTGGGCCAGAGCCGCGGAGACCAACCTGCCCTCCGGGCTTCCCGGGCTGCGTCCCGGAGCCTCCGCCCGTGCGCTGTCCACCTGTTGCGGAACCGGGGCCGGTGGCAGGTCGGGCCCCTGCGGCTGTCCCCGCCACCAAAGGCTCGGGAGCCCCCTCCCTCCGGGTCCCCGCGAGGGTCCGGGTTTGGCGGCCTTGTCCGGGTCCTTCGGCTGATTTTCCTGTCCCCCCCCCACCCCCTTTCCAGCCATGATCGTGCGCTTCCTCACCAAGAGATTCATTGGCGACTATGAGCCGAATACAGGTTAGCACAAGCGCGCGCCCGGCGGCCGCGGCGGCGGGCTCCCTCCCGGCCCTCCCCTTCGCGAGGGGAGGGTTGAGATGTTCAAAGCGGGCTCTCCTTCGTTCTCCAGGCAAGTTGTATTCGCGGCTTGTCTCGGTCGAGGGCGACCAGCTGTCCTTGCAAATCCAGGACACCCCCGGGGAAATGCAGGTAAGGACGGGCTGGCTTCCCGCGGCGCGTGGGGGGTGGGGATGGGGGCACAAACACGTCTAAACACGCCTGTCGTGCGTTTAGATGGAGGAGTGGGCTCGGGCCAGTCAGCGGGGAGTTAGGAACCCTCCCGGGGGCTTGGGGGGCGCCGAGGGCGGATGGTTAGAGGCAGCTTCCCCCTTGCGCGCCACCTTCGGGACAGGGGGAGATGCTTAACCTTTTTGCAAGGCTGTTAGGGCGTCGCTCCTGGGATGGGTCTCGCCACTTCTTTGAGAGGCTCGGCCACGGGACCAGCAACAAAATGGGGTGGGGTCCTGGACGGCGCCAGCTCCCCTAGCGAGGACGGCCCGGCGCCGTTTCTGCCTCTTGCCTGGAGCCAGTAACGGCCGTCAGACAACCCCCCCGGGCCACCCGTCAGCGGTGTCACTTGATTAACAGGTTACTCTTGCCCTCCCTTCTAGGGAGGGGAGGTCTTGTGGACGAACAGAAAGAATGTGTTTCTGTAACGTTCTCAAGAAGGACATGCTAAAAATATTTTTATGGGTTTTGGGAATAGATGTTTATCTTGGCTTATTGTCAAAGTTTTGTTTATCCTCAGTTCGTTCTTTAAAAATTGCCACATGCTGATTGGAAAGTTCTCAACGAAGGCATTCTTCCTTCAGCCCCCAATTCATCAGAGGCTACCTGCTAAGCCAGGGGCTTAAAAGGAACACGTTAGTAACCGCTAATAAAATAACTCAGACAGGGAGCTCTCCTGAACGTCTCTGCTCTTTCTGTCTGAAGCTTCCTTCTGCAGAAGCTGGGCAGGATCTGAAAACTGTATTTAGTGATGTGATGTGGAGCCCTCTCCCACGGGAGGGTTTCCTTGATCCGTTCGTTTCTCAGGTCCCAGACAGCCTGACGCAGGTGGTCGAAGCCCTGTCCAAGTGCGTGCAGTGGGCAGAGGGCTTCCTGCTCGTCTACTCCATCACGGACTACGAGAGCTACCAGTCCATCCGCCCACTGTACCAGCACATCCGGAAGGTCCACCCTGACTCAAAGGCCCCCGTCGTCATCGTGGGCAACAAGGGGGATCTCCTGCACGCCAGGCAGGTGCAGACGGATGACGGCATCCAACTAGCCGACGAGCTGGGCAGCCTCTTCCTCGAAATCTCCACCAGTGAAAACTACGAAGACGTCTGTGATGTGTTTCAGCATCTCTGCAAAGAAGTGAGCAAGCTGCACGGCCCCAGCGGGGAGAGGAGAAGGGTGTCCATCATGCCCCGGCCACGCTCTCCCAATATGCAGGACCTGAAGAGGCGCTTCAAGCAGGCTCTGTCTTACAAAGCCAAAGCCCCCTCCACACTGGGGTGAACGTGTCAGACAGACCGGCTCCTTCCTATTTTGCATTTGTGCAGCTGAGAAGACTGGGGGTTCCCCCTTTTTAATCAATCACACATTCAGAGTTTATTTTTTATACAGACTATCGGTTTGCAAGTCTCTGTGTAAATTCAGTGATTGTCTAGAAGTTGCATAGTTTTTTTCTTTTTTTAATAAAAGATTCTTTTTTTTTTTTTTTACTGTAACTGCTAACCACTTTTCCATTAAAGGCAAAATGGCAACATTGTGCCTCGTTTCTTAAATGTCTTTTTATAGAAATCATACCTGCACCAGAGCCCAGACCTGCTTGGTGCTTGCCCTCAGTCTGAACTCAGATTGGTGTCTTTCTGTCAAGAGGGGTTTAAGTAGACGGAATCTGTTGCGGGAGGAAGAAAAATATGTGGAGGAGGAAAGAAATGTGAATAACAGCAGGATGTCTTTAATTAGGGCACTTCAGCACAGGCATGAAATTGCTATCATGTGATTTTCAAGGAAAGGAGTTCATTGTGCACTGATGCTCAGAAGTTACAGACATAAAATTATCGTTTATCGGTGCAAGTGGAAGTTTATCCTTCCCACCCTTATTTTAAAAAGCAAAAAAATCCTCTTTTCCCTGCATTTCGCATTTCTCACCTTTGTTAAGTGCACTTGAATCATCCAGGAGTTCGTCTTTCCTCTGCCTCCCTGGCCCTCGCATTCTACGGGGTATGTGATCTGTTAATTCTCTCTCCGATTTTCTCTGCCTCAATTCATCACTCTCGCCAGCCTTTGCAGCTCTTGCCAAGACTGGCAAGCGAGAGTCGAGGCAGGAATGATACCCCTCTAATTCTTTCTCCGCGCCAGAACGGCCTTACTGAAACCAACCCCAATCATTTGATTTCCGTGATTGGAAATCCTCAGCTGGCTTCCCCGTATCTACTGGATAAAATGGAAATGAGGCACGGCATCAGGATAATTCCCTACCTCTCCAGCCTCATCATCGCCTTCTGCCAAGACATACCCATTTCTGGGTGTATACGTGCATGTGCGTTTCTCCGCGCCAGAACAGCCTTACTGAAACCGACCCCAATCATTTGATTTCCGTGATTGGAAATCCTCAGCTGGCTTCCCCGTATCTACTGGATAAAATGGAAATGAGGCACGGCATCAGGATAATTCCCTACCTCTCCAGCCTCATCATCGCCTTCTGCCAAGACATACCCATTTGTGTGTGCATACGTGCATGTGCGTGCACGCACACACACGCGCGCACACACACACGCGCGCGCACACACAACTCATACTCCATCCCAGCAGAACAGTCTGCCTTTCTCAGCATCCACGAAGCTCTTTCCCGACTCCCTGATTGGCAGAAACTATTCCCTCTGCCTTGAATATTTCCACCTTTTCTCCACCTAAAACGCAGCTAACTCATCTTCCAAGACCCAAGTCACACGCTACATTCAGTTTCCGGGGGGGGGGGTCTTCTCTGAGTTTTCCTCTATCCCTGTGGCATTTGTGTTGTGACCCAGCCCATCACGGGGCTACTTGTCACCTCCTTGAGAAAGAGCAATGCTCCAGGGCAGTAACCGCAGTTTACGACTCTGTATTCCAAGCTTCTAGCCCCGTGCTCGCCCGTGGAGTGGTAGGTTTTCAGTAAATATTTGATGGAAAGTGAGCGAATGTATTATTTATCGGTGCCAAGAGACAATCATGTGAGATCATGGCGGCACGCTTTGTCACTTGGTGCAGAGAAAGACAGAACAGGTTCTGAGTAGTTAGAGATCCTTTATTAGCAGTGACGGAAAGTGACACATATGCGGTGTCTGGCCTTTGCAGACCATTACCCTTCCTTCCCGAGACACCTCTGTCTAGACCTACGAGGGTCACGTCCCTTTTGTCCATCCTCAAGGGGCATCTACCTGTGCAAATGGTTATGAAGGATTCAGAAAATTAGATAATTTGTTCTAAAGGAGCATCCAAATAGTGAAGGGAAAATATTATTTTAGATTCCATTATCTTTTAAAAAGCGCCTGATTCTCCTTGCTCATTTGCATACCCTCAAAGCGACAAGAGTTCCTTCCAACATCATCCGTTCCTCGCTTCCCACCCGACATCTTAACACGGTAGGTGTGGACTCGAGAAACACCGCCCCTTCTAATCATTGTTATGCCCACAGCAGCCCAGATTGCCACCCAGTGCCAGGGGCTGCTCTGCCCTTGAGCTGAGATCGAATATCCCACGGAATAAAGTTAAATCATAATGTGACAGCTAAAGAACAATACAAGAGATGTCCCAAGGCAGCCTCTAATGGAGTTCCAAGAGTTCCAAGCAGGGACAGGAAGTAGAGGACAGGAAGTACCCTCGAGCTCTCCAGGGGAGAGTACACTGTGGACCAGAAGAGTCAAAAGTGAGTTAAAGGGCAGTTCCAGAGGGAGTGACAGCCCTTAGGGACGCAGGCAGGCCGGGAGCCAAGCAGAAAGTCCTCCGCACTGTATTTGTCCGGTCCTCAGCATCACCAGTAACCGCACTCCAGGGCCACAATTCTTCCTTTATTCCCTGGTCCCCAGAACTGGCCCAGCACAGGACCTGGCTCTCTGGTGTCAGAGGGCCTTCAATGCCTGCTGTCTCTTTCTGGGCCTCCTCCTGAGGACAGTGGAGTCTCCCGGGGGTCAGGTGCTTGGGGGACATCAGGAAGGATCCTGGGATGACAGCCTTGGAACTGGAAGAGAGGAGCAGGGAGTTGTCGGGTTGGAAGCTGCTGGATTAGTGTGTCGGGAAGAGGATCTGAGCTTTGAGCTCGACAGGACGTCCAGGAGGCCCTTAGAGAGGAAGCCGAGCCCAGGAGCCCACCTCCCTCCCCTCAGGAATGATGGGGGGCAGGGCTGTGGGATTCTCTTGCTGAGGCAGAACGCTCAAAACTCAGATGGGTGTGAGAGGCCAGCGTCTACACATTTTTACCCGGTCGTTTTGCCTGACCTCTGAGTGTCAGCATCGGGGGTCGCAACCGCCCAGGTGAGGGAGGCGGAGCTCCCGCCTTACGACCCCTCCCCCCATTCGAGCTCCGTCTTTGAAAGTCCCAGGTCTCCACTGGTCAC